TTCATTCCTCGCTCTTAGTCAGCTTTTCACACTCTGTATTCACTATGGAAATCCTACTGACGTCAGGCTAAATGACGAGGATGTCACTATGGTAATGGGCGCAGGTGCACATTATCAAGGTGTGTTTCTGCATCATTCTCCTCATTTTCTTTCCCCAACAAAAGTTTTCAATGCACACAAAAAAACACATATTAACCTGTGTTTGACTTTGAATGTTGCTAATGCCTCATTTACTGTGTAATCTGTCATTCCTTAAACATTTGTCCTGTGACCTGGAAGTCCTGCAGATAATCAGAAGTCTCCGACATCCTCTATAGTAAACACGTCGCTCTCGGAGGACAGCCTATCTAAAGTAAACATCAGTGCACGGAGCGACAAGGGGACAAACTCAACACTTCTGCAGGCTACATTATACTGTACAAAGAAATGCTGTGTGCAGAAACGAAATACGACAGCAGGTTCACTGTGGGCCTGTTCTGTAGTTAAATATTGAGTAGACTATTACATATATTCACCTGATCAGTCTAGAGACTTGACCAGGGATTTCATCTTTATTCATTTATACATAAGTTCATACATACAACCTACAACTTAAAACATCTGTTAATACTTCAAGCCATACTGGTTTTTATATTGTCACAGTACAAAATATATATCCACACCATGATTTCATTATATTTCTCTTCAGCAATGTCATCCTACGCTCAAGCTCCAAAGTATTGGATCAGAAGCTAATGAAATAGAACTGTACAAAGCTATTTTTTGGGAATACTTGATTTAAGTTTAGCAATGCTTACATGTATTGTCCCTGTCAATACATCATCCATGTTATACTGTAGTCTTTCAGCATGCATTCAGAAAATGAACAATTGTAATGTCCTCATACATTGTTTTGTTTTTTAAAACTAGTCAATTGGACAATAATAACTATGGATGATACAGTCATAGTAAATATCTCGGAACTATGACGCCCTTGTTAATGTGCAAATGATTTGTTACAATCAGCAATAAAGAACATTTACATGAAAGTTTTAAAACCAAAGAAGAAAAATAAACAGTTTGCAGTCTGAAGTCTATTGCAGTTTGCATTGTTCTGCCTTTTTGTGGAAGCCTTTATTGTAAAAGTAGCAACTTGCATTATGTTTTTAATATCTAATTTTACAAGACGACCACCAAATTATCTGTCCTTAGCTTCTGCATTGCTCCTCCAAAAACACGGGAGAAAAAGACGTTAGCTAACAGGTATTCAAATGTTAATGTTGGAAAGAAGTTGAGGCTATAATTTACAATGTTTGCAGCTACCGTAGGTCAACGTTGAAAGTTATCTAACAAACTAACACCAACACGGGTGCTGTCACAACCACAAAGCCCACTTCTCTTTACCTCGGATTGAAAAATTAGCAAAAATGCAAAGTTCAGGCACTTTTTTTGAAGACTGTTCCACCCTTTCCCCAAAATCTCCATTACTCTCTGATGTAGACTTTTTGCCTCTTGTATCTGTATGTTTTGAGGATTCAGAAAGCCTCGGGATACGTGCATGCGTTTTGCTCAAGTTGAAACATTCATGCAATCACAGAGGCATGTCTTTGGCATAATCCGCGTCCCCCCCGGCTTACATAGAAAGGACTGATTACGTGCATTATTAGTGCAAAATAACCACACGCTATTACGAAAAACAGGTAGAGACAGGAGGAGAAAGTGTTTTGTAGCCAAATTAAACATGTGTTACTGCTTGCTATCCATATTGATTGTGATGAACTTAATGAACTGCCTTAATGTGATGACATGTGCATTTTCTGTGCATTAAATATATGCTTCATAGGTTTCGTATCTTAAGATGGGTTCTTGAAAGATGTATGACCAATAGTGTATCAATAGAAGAGCTTTCGAATTCATGCTCAAATCACATTTCTGCTATTACAAAACCCTGTAGTTTAATTTACAAAACAAGTTAGATATCAATCTTTTATAATGGGAAGCTTTTCTTGTATTCAATTAGACTCGCAGGAATAATGGACATCGTTTTAATTAACCTTTAATCATTTATCAAATGTAGACGGATCTGAGCCATTTCTATTAAATATATATACTTTCAAAAAAAGAAAATCTAATTTCTTCAACTTAATGGCATTTTCTAAACGTCACAACTGGTCAGATTAATAGATCATTGATTGTTTGTTTTAAAAGATTCAATGAAATGATAAAAAAGTTATCATTTATATACTGAAATCACTGCAGCATGTCTATTTGTCCTTTCAAAGTCCATTATTTTGTTGTGTTTGCTTAATATATTAGTAAAATGTCTATGAACTGGTGTTACACCCAAAGACTACAGTTATTTTGTTTAAGTCTAGCAAACTTTAGTTTCTTAACAATAAGCGTTCATATTGATTAAACAATGAGACTACATTTGCGGAAATCCATTGTGTAAAGTGAAAGTATCAATGTCCCTTGACATAGAGTACATGTATGGATTATTTCCTCCTAAAAGAAAGGGAAAGTTAACAGTACATCCAGTGGTGAACTTGTGCTTGTGCTTACTGGCATGTCAGTATTAGGGGCTTGGACTGGGAGCTGTAGGGTCGCCGGTTCAAGTCCCGGACCAGACCTAAAATATGGAGTGTGGACTGCTACTTGGAGAGGTCCCAGTTCACCTCCTGCCCTGCCGTGATGCCCTTGAGCAAGGCACCCCCCTTCCCCCCCTTCCCCCCTCACTCCCATTGCTCCCCGGGCGCTGTGCAATAGCTGCCCACTGCTCCTAGTGCTAGACTCCTGGTACTAGGATGGGTTAAAAGCAGAGGCCAAATGTCACTGTGTGCTGTGTGCTCTGCATGTGTGACCATTAAAGAGGGGTTCATCCCTCCCAATTCTATTCAATTCTAATTATATTCTATTTAAAATGATTACAAGTGTTTGCATTGTGTAGCTGGAGAAACAGTGGGAAACAGAAATGTCATTAAAATACAAAAAGTCAAATAAATAACCATTTTGGTACGAGAAGTTTTCTTGCAAATGTTCTTTTCTTTATTTTCTCATACACAATCCAATGCATCATTCATACAAATATAAATACATCTCTGAATAAGTTAGAGAATAAATAAATAGTTCTATATACAACAAAGCATGTAACAGTAAACTTCTAAGCTGGCAAACTATCCATCGTTTGCAGCATTGAGATATTTGAGGATGAAGGTTTATATTTCCATGTGACAACGGATCTGTGTCACGGAGAAAGTGCATTCCTAACATGGTTAACTTTTGCAGTGCATAAACTCAAGTCATCATTTCCCAGTGGGTAATAACGAAGGAATTAAGTTAGTGTTTGTCAGGAGAGGAAAAAACCATTGGTGCATTTTTTGGCAAGCTGCTCGTCATTGAAACTATTTGGCTTATCTTCAATCAAAACATTAAACGAGAGCTATGCAATAAACACTTGAGCCAACACAATGGACCCACTGTTGTTGTTATGCTAGCAGAAAGCAGACTGCTGTATAGGAGCTGACAATGGGCCTTATGTAGAGCTGTTTATGAGATAAACCCCGAAGAGATGACCTTCATTTCCCTGGGCTATGAGTGAATATGTTTCAAGTACTGCCTGATAATTAAAAAAGCAATTTGCCTTAAACTCAGGCAGGACAGCAGATCGCCGCTCTGATACAGAGGAACATGAAACTGAACCAAAGGTCAGCAATGACTTTTTAGTAAACATTGAAAAACAATTCCCGGTGATCGACATTAACTGATTTTAACAACAGCAGTGGATAATATAGTATTAAGATTGTTTCTTATGTAAAATACCCAGAATCACACTGAAAAGTACTCGGTAAAAATTGTGAAGATGCCAATTATCCAAAGGCCAAATTGATAACTTCACAATGTCGTATGAGAGTAACGGTCCAAATCAAAAAATGTGCTAGACCAGTAAGACCTGTACATTTTACATTTGAGAAGTTTGAACCATGAAATGTTTTATGAATGATTACCTATAAAAAAACAAAACCTATATGTGACCCGCTCTATCGAAATCAGTCGGAAGTCGCAACGGCTCATTTCAAAATAAACGTGGATTTACGTAAAAAACTATTTTTTCGGGGTTCGGGTGTTTTGTTTGATTTTAAACAAACAAAGTCTTGGCTTTCAGAATATGAAACTTTTATTTCCAAAATCACACGATAAATACATTTTTGAAGCTTGTAAAGGGACGAAGACAGGCACCTCTCCCTCGCAATCTGCTCTTCCGCAGCGCCGCCCCCCTCCCTCCGGCTGATGTTATGAATGTAAGGCGTATAGTAATCATAGATAACACGGCAGGGTCCGTTACAGTTTGTTTTCATCTGATTTCAATTAAACAAAGTCTTGGCTTTCAGAATATTAAACTTGTTTCGACAAATTCAGATGATAAATACAACTTTGAAGCTTCAGCATAATTACAAGCGGAGAATGGAGTAACTTGACGTCACAGCAGGCATAGCAACAGCCGGTGTTTCTCGTGAGTGTTTTCCCCGGGAAACAAACACAATACACACAAACGCAAAATTACACAAACACACACACACACACACGCATACACACACACTCGCGAGCTTCCCCTCCAAATGAAAATATCTTCCCTCCGTAGTATTTTGATCATTTGCTCCACTAATAATCAATCAGATCGATGGATTCCAGAGAAGAGAAAACTGTGAAGGCCTTTTTCTCAAAATGAGGACTCGGTGACAGTCATTATATAATGTGACATATTTTGCTTAATATTTGAAGTACAAAAACAATCCTGATATCATTAGAAAGCTAGGAATCTCCTCTTTCCCACAGTGTATACAACTCAAAATGTGTCTTCGGCTCAATGCGACTGATTTCGATGGAGCAGGTCACATATTACAGGTAATCTGTGCAAAAATCTTAATTTGTAAAGTAGTAGTAGTATTCAGCTGTCAGATAAATGTAGTGAAGTCAATAATATTTCCTTTTGAATTGTAGAATAGGAGAAGTACTTTGTTATATTCCTCCTCTGAACAATAGTCATGTCTTGATTGTTGTTTATTGGTAGTTCCCCAAAGGGCCAGACACCAGTTTCCATGTCCTTGGCTTTAATGGATCCTTTCTTGGCATCTGCTGTTAAAAAGTTCAAAGAGAGTTCAATAAGCGACTCTAAACGTCTCCACCCAGCTTTGTTTCCTGGTGCCAGGCCTCCGAGGCTTGGTTTTTGTTGACCAAGTTCTCGATCCACTGCCTCTTTTCCTTTTACCATTCCCCCTCTACATCCCAAGAGTTGGTAAGACTCTTGATGAGTTCTCGAACCGTGGGGTCTCCGGCCCATTGAGGTTGAACTTCTTCTGGTCCTCTACCTCTCTGTTGTTTTGCTCTTCAGCCAGTTTTTACTCCTCTGGGTTTCATAGACAGAAAGTATTTGGCGATCACAGTGTTGGTCTCGACTCTAGATCTGCAAGAAGAACAAAAGAAAAAACATAGGTTAGCTTTGATCGCTTTAGAAATGACCGTCAAGCACAGCACTAGGGATGCAACGAAAACCAATAATCGTGTGCAAAGTTGATGTCAAATGTTCTAAAACGTGACCATATTCGAGTACCGGAGATACCGTAGAACCATCAAGGCCTTAAACGGATTTCACAGGACTATAGAAAATTGGTTTTGAAACTTTGTAAGTTCTTTGTAAGTTCGCTATCTACACAATAAAAACATTTCCATGATAATGCTACAAGAGGCAAGCTAGTTTGAGTTAGCCATAAGCAGCAGGATGAGACAACTTGCATCTATTCAGCAAAAACTGTGTATTGTGTGACTTTTTAGCGATAAACTATATACACAGTTGTTGAAGATGTTTTCAGAACAATTCAGAATAGATATTAAAGTAGGAATTATGACCTGTTTCACTTCCTAACAAGAACTAGTTTTGCCTACAGTAATGAACAACTGTACGTCGAAGTACATTGGATTTTGTGTTATTGGTGTCAAGAAACGTGGATTTTCACTTGTTTTAGTATTGACCCCTTAATTCCTGATATTATGACATCCCTACACAGCACAGTATGTATTTAAATCAACCTTAAATTATCGTTAATGTACCTGAAAGATGCCAGCAGCTTGTTGCTGTTTGTACTTGTAGAATCCACCAATGGTCCAACGATATTCCTCCTTGGTTTCTCTGAGCTGCGGACAGAAAACACAACAGCATTAAAAACATATCCCTGCCAATTACTTCTTGGAATTAGAGGATTCTTGTCGGGCATTATCACGCTAATAGTTTCTTGATCTAGTCGAGTTTTCAGACGAATGTATCCGTAGATACCCAGGAATGCAGGGGTGTGCTTCGTAAACATCGCCTCGGATAACATCTAGAGACAGTGACTAATCTGTAATGGTGGCTTCATGACCGCAATAACTCGGAGACGCAACAAACATTTCCTTGAGTGAAAGCAGAAATTCAAGAACTATCCAGAAATAGCAGCATGGTGGTTTTCTTTCAAGGCCGTCAAAGAAATGCGGGCTATTCTCGATATTACTACTACCCCTATGTGACTTTATCACACGTTGAATCATACTTCAGACTTGTTGAAGAAGACACATCATCTTCTTTGATCCTCTAAAAAAACATGTACGTGATGGTGCTTTGCTGTAGGTCTCGATCAGGGGTGTCCAAACTATGGCAAAATGCGGCTTGCGAGCCATTTTGAATCGGCCCTCAGCTAATTCTAAAAATATAATGCAATATGGCTCTCAAATGAAACTTGTGCTTGTGTTTTACTTCTTAAATATAGATGAAAACAGATATTACACAGTGTTCATGTGTTAAGAAGCCCACTTTTCAAATAAATTCGGTCGGTTAAAGTTGAAACATTTTTCTAACAAATCTAAGTTGATGAGAAAAAAGCCCAATAACTTATTTTCATAACAACCTTGAAATATACCCTTCCTATATCCTCTTATTATAGGCAATATGAGGCTTCTGTTGTAAGGAATGAGCTATCAACAAAATAAATGAAACCCCACAGAGATCTGTGATGGAGACTGTTGTTTTTCTTAAAGCATATTCAAGTATTAATCATTTACCTACATTTGATTGATTTTTCTAACTTATAACTTATGAGGCAATAAACTTCCTGTATGTGGCCCTCGTGAAAAAAGTTTGGACACCCCTGGTCTAGGTGAATGGAAGAAGAAGAAAAGGGAAGGGCGCTTACCTTTTTTGGCAGAACCTGGAACAGGTTTTATCGGCCGAGTTGAGACATTCGCAACGCTCGGCTGAACGGCGGCGACGCGACAGGGGACTTCCAAGACCATAAGGAAGGAGTTTACTGGAAAACAGAAGAAGAGATATTTTAGGAAGGTGTGTCCGGGAATGGAAAGGTTTTTAAAATCAACCATTACTAAGAAAATTGTTCTTCACTCTATCTGTGATTGTGAGTATTTTACATTATTGAAACACTCAGTGGTGGAATTCAACTAAAGACATTTATTCCACCACTTTGCCTAAATACAATTTTGTAGTACTTTTTTCCATTTTAGGCTACTTTATACTTCTACTCCAGTACATCCATATAACATCTTTAGTCACTTTGCTAATGGCACATTGTCATTAATTACATTTCTAACAAGATAAAGGCCTACAGGTCGGCAAAAATAAAAACAATATTGACATTTCATTGATTTTTCATGTAAGAGGACATCATATTTTCACCTTCTGAAATGTGAATATTTTTCTGAATTGATTACTTCCACTTTATAACAATATTTTACATCTACATCATTTTACTTGGGTAACATTTAAATGCAGGACTTTTAAAAGAGTTTAGGTTTGTACTATAATAGTTTAAAGTGTGGTATTTGTCCTTAAGTAACACTGTATATTAGCAAAGAAAAGGATAACTAGTTTATCATAAATCAAGAAGACAAGCTTGTATGGAATTGATATTTATACTTCGGATTACTACTTTTACTCAAGTAACAGATCTGAATATTTCCTGACCTACTGATTGATAACATACCTCAATAATTTAGTAATTCAATTAGTTTTGTTTGCAAAAATCTGTGACTTAAGTTGTTAAATACATATCATGGAGTGACAAAGAGCATCCGTTCCCTTTGGAATTGAAGTAGAGGAGAAGTAGAAAGTAGCAAGACTAGAAAACACTAGTCATGTTATATTTTTTATTTAATTGCAGTAATAAATGTTGTACTAGGTTCCTGTGTGCAGCCTCACCTGGGCGTGTTGACCCAGATAATGTCCAGATGGCAGAAGTAGATGCACTCTTTATCGTCCCAGCTGTTGCAGGAGCAGCGTTTGGTCCTGACGTGATGCTCTGATAACGGGTGTCCACAACCTGGAACACACACAAAGGAGCCCGAGATTAAAAAAGTGCCGACTAATACTCTGCAGGGTGACGGTGCACTTTCTTTAAACACTTTATTTATTGGTTTGTCCCATACATAACACAATAACATACAGAGTACAAATGCGGGTGCTATAACAACAAAACAATAATGATAATAACATAAAAAGACCATTACAGTAATAGCAATGACAAAAAGAACACTGTGCACTTTGACACAAAGACATCCAACAAGCCGGTTAACACCCACTGTTGCAGTTAAACAAATGGGATTGTGATTAATGGAGGAACATATGTATTATGTTATGAATCAATACCCAAGTCAAACAATCATGCAACGAGTGTTTTAAATCAATAAAGATGATTGTTTTTCAATAAAAAGGTGGGTTAATGTTCTCTGGAAGGTTAAACCCAGATCTTAGATTGTGCTTTCTCTGGAGATTTGCAGAGAGTCAAAGTAGCAAGTGTTTGTTTTTTTTGTAGCATAGTCTTATACACCATAAAAATGATATCTAGTATTTTAAAATACATTCTAAGAAATTATGATTAAGTATTATAGAGCCTTTATCTTAACCAGCCAAGAAAGAACTGATGATTTGTTGCATTAACAACCAAAGAATTATGAAAATTTAAAATCAAGAATTTAAAAATCAAGAATTCTAACAAAATGATTTCGGGTTTTTTAAACTAAGATTTGAATCAATCATTAAGTATAAAACAAATATCAACTGATTCGTTAAGTAGTACTAAAATAAATACATGTAAAATTAATGATCAAATATTAAAAAAATATATTGCAAAAATAGTTATCTAGTATTAAAAAAAACACCTTAAAATTCCCCTAAAGTATTAAGTCATGAAAAACACTTCCATGATATTTTAAGTAAAAAAAACTCTAAGTAAGTAAATTAAGTTCCTCACCGTCTTGCAGAGCCATGCAGATGATGAGTAAAGTCAGAGTCCTGCACATGAAGGAAGACATCCTTATCAGTGTGTGATGTCCTGATGCGAAAAACAGCAGCAACTAAACTCTTAAAAGTCTTAAAAGTCTCTGAAGTATACACTTCTTTAAGTTTTCAGAGTCTTTAGAGTTAGTTGAGTCCGGAGAGCAGGTGCTTTGTGTTCAGGCTCCTCCAGATCATCTACTTATACTAATCACTGCAGCACCTCCTACTGCACTGTGCTCGTCACAACACATCTGTTACACAACACACCTGCCCTCCTCACATTCCTGAAGTGACCAGAACATGCAGTATTGTGAGCGCCCCCTACAGGCCAAGAAGGGTGAAGGAGCACATGGAGAAGATCTATTTACTGACATTTACTGATGGTGTTCGGTTTTATGTGGATTGGAACTAGATTTTCACATTCTAAAGAATACTAAAATACAAATATTTAGGGTATACACCGATAGAACATTACATGTCATTTTTTAGACGCTTTTATCCAAAGCGATTTACATGGGCAATCCCCACAGGAGCAATTTGGGGTGAAGTGTCTCAGGGACACAACGACATGCTGAAGCAGTGGGACTCGAACTTGCTACCCCCTGATTCAAAGTCCAGCACACTACCCACTGAGCCACAGCCTCCCCTGAACATCATTAAACATTATTATTTGTATGTCTGTGTGATAATTTGTGTCTCTCTGGGTTGTAGGCTATATTGTGTTTTTGTGTCTTTTTTATCTCTCGGAGATAATTTTTGCACCTTTTGTGTGATTTTTTAATGATTTGTAGTTATTGTAGTCGCCCAATAGTAAATGTTTTATCGGGGATGTTTTGTGTCTGTGTTTTATTTGTGTCTCTTTCGGTCATTTGTATTAACTGTTAATATGTTACAAGAGGAATTCAAAAACAACAACTGATGACATGACAATACATTATGATGAACACCATTACCCAATTGCATCATGCTAACCATTTATTCACTGTTTACTTTGTAATGTTGCTACTGATTGTTTACTATAGTTGTGTGCTGGCATCTATGTTTAATATTTTTCTTAAAAATATCCCCGCTGTGGGACGAAAAAAGGATTTCTGAGTGAGAAATCAAAAAAGATCCCAAAACTGGGTTTTTTGTTTAATAAAACGATTAGTTGCAACTGCAGTCTTTGGTGCAAGTATTAGTAATAACTAAACACATATTTAAAATACCTCAGTATTGTGACGGAGACAGGAGGTTGTGTGAGGTGACGTGCTTCATGTTTTTCATTCTGTGTTTTTCCAGAGGCGCTGCAGGATGAGCGGCAGAAACAGAGCGAGGCCTGCATGTGCCGCTGATATGAGGAGGATGAAGTTGGGGTAAGCTGTCAACACACACACACACACACACACACACACACACACACACACACACACACACACACACACACACACACACACACACACACACACACACACACACACACACACACACACACACACACACACACACCCCTGCAGGAAAGTGAGGTCATGGCACCGTCTTTACTGTCACACAAACAGAATCTCTGCGTGCAACATGCTCTGACCTTCATAAAGAGATACGCAGCCGGCTGCCACATCAGCTCTCTGTTACACACACACACACACACACACACACACACACACACACACACACACACACACACACACACACACACACACACACACACACACACACACACACACACACACACACACACACACACACACACACACACACACACACACACACACACACACACACACACACACACACACACACACACACACACACACACACACACTCACTCACTGACATCCTGAATTTGACCACAGCCTCCAACACAGTCATAAGTGTAGTAACATCTGTCATGCAACGTATTCCTCGCTCTTATCTGCTATTTAAGTTATAAGGTTATATGAATCAAATCCACAGATACAGATACAAATTTGAATAAATATAATTATAAAAAATAAGATAAAGACACGTTCATTTAAAAGATTTAAAATTCGGATAATTTTTCTAATTGATTTCTTTGTAGATTGACTGATTTAAAAGCTTCATATCACAGCAATCAGCCATGAAATGCCATTGAGTTAAATATTAGAAATTATCATAAATAAATAGATAAAAATGGCTATATAAATAATAACTTAATACATATAGAAATAAATAAGCCTATAAAATAAACAAACAAATATATAAATACACAAATGTAAATATATACATTTGTCAATTTAATAAAAATTAAAAAAAGGTTGGTTTCATCCTAAAAAGGAGGTTTTTCCAAAGATCACCTGCGATTTGTTTTAGTAATGAATAGAAGATGTATATATATATGAAATATTTGAAATATATATATAGATATGTATTTTTTTTTGTACCTTAAATGGTTTAAGGTGTAAGACGGAAACTCTCGCAATGGTTGAGGATTTTTTCCTCAGAACTCCAGCAGGAATGTAAAACATGGAAAGAAGCACCAACAGCAAAAGGAAATAACAAAACTGACAACATTAAGTGTGTGTGAGTGCCTTTGTGTGAGTGTGTGGGTTAAGTGCTGGGGGAAATGCCAGAAGGATGTAACAACAGGATGGTGGCATTGCACCAGCTATCTATCAAAGAGGGAAAATAACTAATCTAAAGCAAATATTTGTGTATAAGGAAACCCATTGACCTCCAGCTTTCTTCAGATTAGGCATCGAAGGAGGACTTTGCCGCCGTGATGCAAAGGAACTTTTATCTGTTTCCACTTCCTGCTGAGGGCGACAGGAATGTGAGGCCGCACCGCGATGATGATCAACACACCAGGAACCATTGAGTCCTCTGTTGTTGCTCTGGGCTGAGGTTAGATGTGACACACAATCACACATTCTGGAAACAGTGGAAACAAAGGGGGCTGAGGTCAATGAGAACAAATGATAGCATGACACAGCAAATGTATTGATTTGTAAGTGTTTCTTGAAATTCTATAACCTATACCTCAGAGATATTGAAGTGAAGTGACTGCTATGTTGTATATATTGATTGTATATATTGATTGTTGTGCTTTTATTTATGTCTTAACCCTTATGTTGTGTTCGGGTCTCCCGTGACCCGTTTCAAGTTAAAGTTATATAATAACTACGCTCTAGTTTTTTTTATCGGAACCAGGCTTCATGATATCCTCCACAACTTTATAAACACTACAAAACTGATTTTGACAATTTTAGCCAAGTCTGAAGGTCTCTTAAAATAAAAGCAATATTGTTTTGTGTGACTCGGGATCAAATGTGGCCCAATCCAGATTCATCTTTGACTTTAGACACCCCTCCCCCTTCCTCCACTGTAACAATAATGTCAAATGTTTTGGGGGGAAATTGTATTCTAATAGTCTATTAGTCAGATAACGTAAAGATCCACTGTGGGAAATATAATGAGTGAATTTAATCACATTTTTTACTTAAATATGTGATGTGTTTTGGAGCTATACAATAAAAATAATGACAGGATTGTATGGTTATGACTGCATAATAAATTAGTTATGATGTAGTGAAAACAATATCGGATGATAGTTATTTTGTGTTTTGGACTGAGATAAATCATGGGTCAAAATTGACCCGCTAACACAACACAAGGGTAAATGTGTGCATATGTATAAATGTGTCTGTTGATTATGTATGTATATATAGGTATATACATATTTTTATATATATTTGTTTTTGAATTTGGGATTGTGGGAAACGGTATTTCAATATATCTCTGTCTGTACACACATAATACCTTTTTAAATAGCATACAATTGGATATTTCAGATCTATCAGATATCAATCAGATGTTTTTCGACTTCTTTGACATACCATAGTATCACTTTCGACATTCTAGTAAATTCGTAGTATATTTCTATATTTGCATTTGTTTTACAACGTATTTGTTGCCATGAAACAGTTGTCTCCTTCTGGTTTCCTTCAGTGTTCTAATAGATGTTTTCATCCCATAATAGTGTATTTGTCTTTTGGGCTCTCCTCTTCTAGGGAACCTTATCAAAGCTTGCCTCTTTTGTTAATGTGTCATTATATTTGGAGCTTCTCCCAAACAGAGCGACAGTTTATTGATAAAAGGAGGGATAATCAAAGTGAATCACACCAAATGAAGCTTGAAGTCTCCTGTGTGTGTGTGCGTGGGCATGCGTGTGCGTGTGTGTCATCTCCCGGATGTTATATTTTAGGAGAAAGTTGCAGCGTGAGCTAAAGTGGACTTTAGGTGGGTTTCTCCTGCCACCCAGTGGTTACAGGTAGAAGCTTCAGGAGAGGAGGAAAAGGACACATCTAAAAAGCAAATTGAAGGCAGGTAATTAAAGTATAACGATGTTAAAATGAGTGCTTTCTATTAAGTAGAATTTCAACATCAAATAAAATGTTACCATAGCCCAATGCTGGAAAGTACCTGATAACAATTACTCAAATGATACTATGATATTTTTTGACATACTATAATTGTATTTTTTCTAATATTTATTAACATACTATACTAGAATTTTTTGATGATTTAAAAAAAAATACTATGACTTTTTTCGACGTAGTATATTATGACTTTTTTATCGACATAATATACTATGACTTTTTTACCACGTACTATAACGAAACGAAAATACTTGAAGTATTTGAATGGACTTTTACTTGATTTACTTTATGTATTAATTTGATTTAAAAGTCATTTTTTAACGCTTTGAGCAACATGAAGAAAATGCCATTAATTTAAACTAATAACGAGTTAAAACTGGTTAAAGATGGCTAAATATGTTTTTCCTACCTTTCAAGGAACCATTCATTTAAAAAACATTACAGCACATTTGGCTGAGGCTTTTATCCAAAGCGACTTACAATAAGTGCAAAAACCATAAAGATTCTATCTCCGAACAACAAGGAAAGTGCAGATATATTCACTTCATTAAAAACCTTATAGCCAAACTGAAGAACCACACACACACGTAACCCAGTTTTCATATAAATCTGTAAAAATGAGAAGTTTAATGGAAAACATGAAAATGACGGAGTGATTGCATCGTTTATAAAAGCAACAACACAAAAATACATGTAATCTGTTTATGAAAAGAAACTGCACCGTAGCTACCATGTACGTGAAAACAGGTTTCCCTTTTGGATATCAAATTATTTTTCAGT